TGCCATTTCTAGCTTCCTTGGGACATAAATCATGTCACTGCTGCTTCCCAAATGGTTAAAAAGCCTTCTGCAGAGCTCACTGCCTGCAGCAGCAGGCCAGGCATCATCGATGCTGCCATGCGGGAGCACATCAGTCCTCGTCATGGGCACCAGCGGCTGTGATGTCAGGGCAGGGACTGGCAACCCCCCTGCCCTCCTCCCTAATCTCTGCGGAGCTGCTGCCCACCCTGGGGCAGGGCACAGGCAGGCTTTATGCCCCACTCAGCTGCAGGCAGCAGCTTCAGGGGGCTCAGCACCGCTGCCAGCAGCCCCAGGACCCATTTTCCTCCAGTTCACACCAGTGTCCATCCAGCTAGGGCATCTCGGGCACCCCTGGGGCTGTTGCCAGGCGGGCTGCAGGATGCAAGCTCAGCCAGCTCCAGGTGAGTCCCTGTTCAGCCAGCACGGACCCGCTCTTGTGATTTAATTTGTCAGAAATGCTCAGAAGCATCAGCAAAGTGAAACGCAAAGCTCAGGGGGTGGAGAGGCTAATTTTATGCTCCATTAAAATCTCAGTTTACAATGGAGCGAGGTCAGGAGTGGTGTCACCTGATGGGTTACGGATGGAGGCGGATTTACAGCGGAGCAGCCTGTCTTTAGCACCCTATGGATTTGGGGAGACAGAGTTACTGCCGTGGAAAAGTGTCTGAGATGCACACACATCCCAGTCAGTGCTGGCCTCTGCACCGCTGCCACCAGCTTTGCCAGCTCCCAGGACAACCTCCTCACCAGGACTGCCTTCCCTGGAGGTCAGTCCCTCGTGTCTGCCAAAGGGATGGCAGGAGCAAGCTCACTGGAACTACTACTGTGTTTAATGCACATTCTGCCTTACACAGATTAAAAGTTAATGGATTTTAACTGTATGCAAATGGTGACATGGGGAACATGCAAGAACAAGAAAAGATTGCGTACCAGAGCGTGGACTGAGGTGTTTGAGCCGTGTCAAGGGTCCTGTCCCACTCCCAGCCTCACCAGGCTGTGGGACATGGCATTTTGGGGAGACCTGACGAAGCACATCTGCCTGGGCCAGACCCCTCTGCTCCGATGGGTTTGCACAGCGCCGGCACACGGAGCGCTGCACCCGCAGCCACGTGCCTGCTGCTCCACGCTCCCATCCATGCCAGCTCGCAGCACTGACAGACGCCTTCCTACAGACACGCAGCCCCGGACAAACACCTCCTTGTCCCTGGGATTTTTATCCTTTGATTGTCAGGGACGTGGCCCTGCTTCGGTGTAGGTTCCGTTTGTCAAAACCCATCCGAAGCAAGTGTTGGCTGGAGAGGGGACTTGGGTTGCCCACCCAGATGCCTCAGGCTGCCTGCACACCTCCCAGCAGGCAGGGGAGAGGGGCAGGGAGCTGCAGGTTGTCTGTGCTGGAGACAGCGCTGCCGCTTCGCTCCTTCCCATGTAGGCTGAGAGCCTTTTCTGCAAATCGCTTGCTTATGTCTCATTAAATTAATTGCATGGCATTTTAATGCTTTGATCATCGCTGACGTTCAGGATGTACCAGTTCCCTCGTACAGTTTGTTTATCACACATACTAAGAAAAAAATCTAGATTTTTCCCTGGGAAAGGGTTTTTTAGCAAGGGCAGGTGCCTGGGACAGCCGTGCCTAAGGCTGCGGGTGCTCTGCATCGTTTGCTGCTGCAGCCCAGGGGCCAGGACATGGTGATCCCCCCACCGACGCGCTTCTTACCTGGAGCTCGACGCCGTAGCCCGTGTAGACGGTGACGTTGTAGGTGCACTCCAGGTAGCCGTGCAGGGGCAGCGGCGGGTAGTCCGTGGAGTCGATGTAGCCTTCGGGGTCATGGAAGCTCATGCTGCAGAGGACTGGGGGAAACATGCATCAGCCATTGCCCCTGGGAAGCGGCTCACCCCGCAGCTCCCTCCCGTGCCCGGGTGCTCCCCCTAAAATCCAGCACCCAAATCCTCGCTCCAGCAGCTGGCACTGCTGAAGTGCAGAAGGTTTTAGGCAGCCCCACGACCCCAGGTAGTGCTGGCACCGCACGCAGGGCTCCATCAGCTGCCGTAACCCCGCTTCCCAGCTCCCCGGCCCCCAGCGCGGCTTACCCGGGGTGGGCTCCGTGGTGATGACGGTGGTGGTGATGATGGTGGACGTGGTGGTTTCTTGGCTCTCTTCCGACACAGAGCCGTGCACCTCGCTCTCTGCGCCGTTCGTCCGGCTA